GGCCAAAAGTTTGATCTCAACGCGAACTTTATGATACTATACGTTCTAGTAAAGAATGTATGTATAAACATTTCCTTAAAGCTTATAATAAAATGTAAAGTCAAAATTAGACAACTAAATTACATATAGGTAAGCCAATGTTATGATATCACTAAAATAAAGATATCCATGTCAAATCATAAAAAGTTAAAATACCGACTCTATAATAAAACACCTTGGCATATTTATTGGACAAAATTTCTTCTACGAAAACTATATTGATATAATCACGCTTGGGACATAATCGTCTCTAAACAATTGGAAATGAAACTTTTTTTATTATCTAAAATCGTACAGGATATTTGTAGCTGACTCAATGTGAGCCGTGACCATGAGGTCTATGAAGAACCCGAAACTTTGGTTTGTTTGAAAAAAATACATGTGACTTTAGATCCTTTTTTAGATTTCCAATATGTAACTATGGTGAAAACCAAAGTACTCGGAATGTTTAAAGATATTTATGTCGCCTTTCAGTACTCACTTATTTTACTATTTTACTTCAAATTGGTAATATTAATGTGAATTATTCCACTATCACACCGCAGTCGAAAAATAACGAACAAAAACTATAACAAAAAATGGCGACCATTTTTGTAACCTAAACTGCGCTATAGGCAGTTGCCTTGACGTTTCGCTAATCAGGTCCACCTTGAATATTAACCAATGGATTGTTTAGCTCACGTCAACTATGTAACATGTTTACATTTATACATTTTATATTTATTTCTATTAATGCAATACATTTTGCACAAGCGTAGATTATGCTCGTTGTACATTTAGGTAGTAATTTTAATAGAAGTAAAAATTTTTCGTCCTTCGGGACAGGTTAAAACGTCCAATTCGCCATACTGCCAGATCTTAGATTTTAATTTTTCGTCAGTCATTTAATTTTCTGAATTTTTTTACGCGGGAAATCTGACATTTTACAAATTATCGTCGCCATTTTGTTTTTTGTAGTCATTTTAATTGAGGCTATTAGCGCGAAAGTGGTGTAATTCATAATATTTTAATATCTACAGTATTACTTTAAATGATACCAAAGTACATAATCATTATATACTTGGATGCTATTTTCATGAATAAAAAAAAAAATTGTTGATAATAATAATATATGATTACTATAATTATAATATGAATTTGGTTAATTTTAAAATCCTCATTATTTTTTATATTATGTATTCATGCGGTTACGCCACTTTTGCACTGATAACATCATTCTTCATTCTTTTATTTATTTTTGTTTTTACTGCTATGGAATCCTATACTTTTAAATGAAGGAATATTGTGAACCATTCCGTTTTAGTTCCTTTGTGTTTGTTCTTGATAGGTATTACTTTTCAATTTGATAGGAAGTTGGAAATAAAATTATTTTTTCAGGATTTAAGTAGCGTGTTTTTTCAAACAAGCCAACGTTTCAGGCCCTTTACATATTCCATGATTACGGGTAACTAATAGAAAATTGGTAAATTGATATGTATCATTCAGCACTGATTACTAAAATATGTTTTTGAAAATTTCCACTTTTCACAATTGGGCTTCCATTAACATCATAATTATGTACCAATATTTTCTCGATATGCACTCCATATTACATTTTATTATTATTTAATATTTAATACGATATTTAAACTGGTTACTTGTTAAACTAGGAGTTGTCATCGTGACAAAATTACTATCCACTTTTCCAATATACGCATGCTAAAGAATTCTTTTACTTTATGAGAAATGAACAGCGCATGTAATTAAATAAAAAATCATTTTTACCAACATAATTTCTGACTTTATAACCCTTTTAATCTTTATATCCATACTAAACATTGAGGAGTAGCTGTTATAACATAATTAAGAATAAAAGAAAACATTTTTTTCCATGATTCGAAACCATGCATTTTGTTTCATTATGTCGTCCTGATATATCTCTTGTAACAATCAGGAATCGAAGCTTGGACTCTAATTTGGCCAGCTAGCAGCACTAATTACTGTGCTCTTGGCACCATGTAGCAATTAGACATAATTTACGAACAAGCCGTTATTATGCATTATCAATTCATAGAAATTATGTCGGTGAAAATTATTTTCTCATACAATTGCATGCGCTGTTGTATTTTTCATAAAGTAAAAGAATTCTTTAATTTTAACTATTTTTAAATGAGAATTTTGTGAATCTTTTTCTATTTAAAACGGATATTTGACCATTTGTCACTTAGCCTCGTTTTAGTTAGTGGACGGCAGAAGTGGATAGTATTGTTTTCATGATGACAACTCCTAATTCAATAAGTGAGCAGTTTAAAAATCGTATTAAATAATAATAATAGTACATTGTATATTAGGATGGTCATTAAGGAATTACGAACGAGACCATATTAGAACCCCGAAGTCGAAGACTGAGGGCTTTCGGAGTCGAGGTTCGTAATTTCCCCCCGTGAAACATATTAATTTTTTCGTCACACTTGCACGTGAATAGTGCGATTGCATGCAGGGTAACTGCTTTATAATGCTCCAAATAAAACTCCCAGGCCTTTTTTCTTCTCATTATAGCCACGATCGGTAATGAGAAGAAAACAGGTCCTAGGTTAAGTATTTTTGTGTAAATATGGCTTCGAAATTTAAAATAAAGCTGATTATGACAGGGTAGGTTATGCGCAATTTTATGACAAGTCAGCCGAGACCTAAATAATTATAATGTGCCAGACAACCATACCCTGTACCTGGTCTCAAACTGGCGAATTTTCTTTACTCATGACTACCAGCGCTATGGAATTCAATCCGGCGCACTACCTACAATGCACAGCCGACACCTATTCACAAAATTTCAGTTTTTTTTTATAATATCAAGTGACGGGACGAACAAGTCGTGCGCCTGAGGGTAAGCTACACGCCTGTCCATAACAGTTGCAGTGCCACTCAGAGCTTTAAGTCGCCAAGATCTGAGGAGCACTGCCACTGCGCCCGTCACCCTGAGATACCCTTCAAACCCGAAACACAATAACGCTGACATTACTGCTTGGCGGCAGAAATAGGTAAGTAAGCAGTACTTCCCTGGACGAACTCTTTCACAAGGAGCTTTACTGCCACTTACACAGTACTTTCATAATAATTTTGGTAAATTTACAGGCTCTTGGAACTTTCCAGCTTATGTCTCAGGGTGACGGGCGCTGTGCTGTATAAAGCTCTGACGCACGACTTATACGTCCCGTCTCCTGATATAAAAAAAAAAGCAGTGCCTCTACCACAAGTTTAATGTGACAATTCTCGCTAGCGACCGCGTAAATTACTACACAATTTTGTACGGATAATTTATAACATTTTGTATACAAATATTTTACGCGGTCGCTAGCGATAACTGTCGCTGTAATCTCATGATAGAGGCCTAGATCTTCCTACCGTGATACCGAGAAAATTAAAATGACGGAAAAATAACTGATAGATGGCAAATTTTCCTCGACGGCAATTTAATTAATGGTTCATGTGGAAAATGAAGGACAGGAAAATCGGCTTGAATCAAAATTAACTGTTGAATAGTGAACAGTAGATATAATTGCTTGTTTTACGTAATCTGAATTGCAAAAAGGTTATAAGTGACCTTCGCCTTGCGCGGAAATACGTCTTTGTGAATACTAATCAGTACGCGCTGCGCAGGAGTCATGTTTGTTAACGATGGGGAATATATTTTTGGACTTGCTCCTAGCAGGTATATAGTAATATCAGAACTATTCTTGCAAATAAGCCTGGTTTGTGGTATTGAATCGATCGCAGTCGAGGGTATTTTTCGTGGACGTTGGACGATGCGGCCTGTTTCGTCGTCATCCCACCTTTTTATCACCCTTTTCTCTGGTTCCTGGCCACTTACTTTTGAAATTTTTTAATCGTTCTCTAATTGTAACGAAACCGTTGTTCTTTCAGCATATGTTGAACGTTTATCGCAAGGTCACGATAAGGCTCGGTTAGGTTAGGTTAAGTTAGGTTTAAAGGAAAAAAATATGTTCCTCTCTAAATTACTTTCGAGGTTATGAAAACTCGAAAAAACGTTATTTCTGAAAAATGTCATTTCGGACTACTAATAGGTAAGCCGTTCCGTCGTCACTCCCATCAAAACACCTGAAGAGAAAGGACGTGCTTTTCTCTAGTAATTTTCTTTTTGACTAAATATCAAAATTTCTTATATACGTTTTATAACGATGTAATATGTTTGCACATACATAACACATTGTGGAAAAGTTCAAAAAGTCGAAGTCACTGTAAATTGTACCTGATACGCTATGAAATGATAAACCTCTACAAGGACATCATTAAGGCTGTCAAGGCTTCACTACAACCAACAGGACATGCTTGGGAGGTGCGAGAGCTGCGTGACTGACGTTACCATGCCGCATGACGAGAGTCGGAAGAATCTCAGCCTGGCCCACGAAATAACCGACATTTGCGATGTGGTCTCCACTGACACGCACATAGACAACCACAAATTACATTCAAACTCACGAGAGAAATAAATATAGGCCATAGAAATATTTCACCAGGCGGGAATCTAGTCCGTAACCTCTGCGTGACAGACCAGCATAGTAACTGTTCAGGCAAGGAGGCAGTCGTAACGTAATATGAGAACAAGAGCAACGGAATTCATTTTCTTTTGGAATATTTTTAATTCATTATTATGTAGTGTTACGTCATTAAAAACAAACTAAATAAAAAAAAATTAAAAATTAAGAAAAAAAACTTATTTTTTATTTTGTGTAGATATGTGTTAACAAGGCCCAAACTTTCGGCCTAGTTAACGTATATTATGGCCATAATGCGGGTTGGCAATTTCGTGCGTCCATTTAGATATTGAAAATTAAGAATAATCATACATGTATTTTAAATTTTATATACATTTAATATAAAATTTTATGTAAATAAGAATAGTGGTCTTTAGATAAACCTAGATAAACCTTTTAACTAAATATTGTGTGCTTCTTCAACAGAGTCCAGCCTCAGAGTCGGACAGCTCTTCAGTCTCCGGAGCGAAGAGTCCTGCAGCCTCGCAGCCCCTACTCCAACACCTCCAGCTGATGCAGCTGCAGAATCCTCAACTGGCGCAGGTGAGCGCCCCAGAGCAGGACCCGTCAGATCAGGCCTTGCAGCAACAAATTGAGCTATTTCGCCTCATGCAGAACCCACAGGCTTTGGCTCAGGTAAGAATGGCCGTCCTAGGGTTGACCGAGATGTAGCAGCACGTGATGACCGCAATGACTCCGTCTTAATTTTGAGTATTGTTAACATTAAAACTGTTTATATACTGGATTGGAACTCGTTACTAATTCGTTAATTACTTAACGTACCCTTGGCAAAATAAAGACATTTAATGTGATGTGATCATACGTCAAAGGTATTTATCAAGTCAGATACGGAAAGAATACTTATTTATGTATTTATTTGCAAACTTTACAACTTTTTAAATTCGATTTATATTCTTAAATCACAAACTTACTTATAGCTAACCATTTACAAAGTTTGTCATTTAAATATACAATACATTTAGTTACATTAAATTTCAAATAAATTATGCCAAAATGAAGTCACGGGAAACAATTAGTAGTAAAAGAATAAAATCAAGAAAATTACAATAATTAACGATATGATACTTGACAAACTATAGTTGCAAGCACAGTATGCACATGTGTGTGTGTGTGTGTGTGTGTGTGTGTGTGTGTGTGTGTGTGTGT